CCATTTATTTATTTATTTAATTTTGGCTAAAACGGCTCTCCATAGACGGGTTGTGGAGAGAAAAATAAAAACAAAGGAGCCCATGATCCTTTACAGGTCCGGTCCAAATGCTCACCTATATTTGGCCCAGAGCAGATAACTTTTCCTGCCATTGTTGACAAATAATTGCATGGAGTTTGTCATTATTGTTGCTGTCCAAACGAAGCTGCAGTTTGTTGCTGCACTGCTGACAGGTTGCTTTGAAGAAAATGCTGCCAGACGAGGAACTGTGTTATTTTCTTTATTTTCCCCCTCAAAATAAAATGTGTTGTTAACTAAATTACTTAAATTGTTTGCTTTACTCACCATCTCTTGCATAAAAATAGAGTTCCAGCACAAGTTTCTGACCCACTGTTCCAAACTCCACTGTGGATATTATTTCCATGTGTTTAGTTTTTTTCATGGTCATTTATAAAGAAGTTAGATTTACTATGATCATCATTAAAACAATCACAGGTGAAAACTTCATTATTTAATTGTTGCTTGAAGATCATATCATATTGTTGCTTGATGACCATGATCAGTCACATGAGTTTGAAAAGAGCGGCCTTCCATACGGGGTCCGCTGAGGGGGCTCGTCAGCCGCGTGCAGCAAGGACAGACGTGCGGGGGGTACCCGGCGCGTCAAAACTGGACGCAGACGGTCCCTGCACAAGCGTCAATATGTTGACGAGTCCGACACCTGCATATTTAGGAGAAATTGGGGAAAAAAACTTAAACATTAAACAAAACATGTTTTTTTTTTTTTAAAGGGTCAGTGTGTGACTGTATGGCTGCCTGCTTGGGAGCACAGCTGTCTCCCTAGTTGTGGTCGGTGGAGTTGGGGGTGGATGTAGTTAATGGTAGTTGTTTGGACTTCAGATGATGCAGTTTGTTACTGCTTACACATCTATGTAAAGCAAAGATATTTCAGTATTTCCTCCAGTTGTAAAAGTCATTTATAACATGGACACATGTAATTCCAGTTATGGTCTAAATCCGCAGAAGAGGAAAAAAAATCCTGAAATTGTTCGTTTGCTTTTAATTTCCTGAGAAGATGCCTACTTTACATCTGACAGACAAAGTGAGGATGTAAAAAAAATCTAAATAATAAACAGCAGGAATGTAACAAAATATCACATAATATTGTTTGTTTAGCCTTTTAAAAAGGTAATGTAGTCAATAAACAATAAGGGATCTTTTGTGACTTTTTGTGGGCTTTGTATCATGTTGTTAATGAACGGTGGTTAATTTCACAGGATTATGCTTTTTTGTTTTGTCTCCACATGACTCCTTGTTTATGTTTTTGCTTTGTCTTTATCTGGCTCATAATTAATGGTTTTATTTTTACAGCAAGTGTTAATTATTGGAAAAGTTTTCAACTAAAACAATTTTTAGCTCAGTTAGATTTTTTTAACATGAAGTGAAAATCTGTTTTATTTATAGTTCTAAAAGTATGATTTTAAAGAAAATTAACCAAAAATGATCAATTCTGATGGCATCATTGCAAAATACTGACAAAACCTACAACCAGAAAAAAATGAAATATATACGAAGAAGTTTAATATACTTGTTTGTACAATTAAATTACTCATATTTTTTATAGAAAATTTCTGTTTGGGGTGTTTCAGACCTCCATAAGCCTGCATGTTTAAGGAGACATATGATGTTTTTAAATGCTTTTACACATTTAAATCATTCAGTTGGGGTCTATATAAAGTGGAACTGCAATGCTTTGGTCTGAATTCCTCCTTATTGTAACTCCACGAACCCCTTTTCTGAGTTGTGTCTCAGATCAACTCATTTTGAGGCTGTCTCATTAAATCCTAATGAGGCACTTCACACAACGCCCCCCTCAATTTTCCAGAGAGGTTCATTGTATCTCGACAGAGAGTTTAATGACTACATGGCTGCGCAGAAACATTTTATCTACAAATTAATTAAAAGGTGTGAACAAGGAAAGACTTGTCCATCCAGCTGTTTGTGTTGGAGCCAAAGTCTGACCCAAACAGGATGCAAAAATATTTACGCAAAACAAGGAAAAACTAAATTAAAAATTTCTGCACTCCAAGTACACAAAAAATGTATTTAATGGCTACATAAGTGGATTGTGCATGACACGTTCCCTTTAACACAAGTTATTTTCTCTGAATGGTGTGACAGAATTTTTAGATTTTTCAAGCATCTCATAGTAAGGAGGGCAACTTTTTAGGCAGTGTGTCTGGTGCTTGATAATGGCTTCAGTTGATGTGGATAAGTCTAGAAAAAAAATCACAGTGACAGCCCCACTCTGAGCTTCTTTTAGATGACTGAGCTCATTGAACTGCTTTCTGTGTGAGAACTCAGACATTCCACTTATCCATCCATTTTCCAAACCTACTCTGTCCTGTTCAGGGTCACAGGTGATGAGAGTCTGTTCCAGCTGTCACTGGTAGAGAGGCAAATTGCATCCTGGATAAATTACCAGTCACAGACCTGAAACAGAGGCACACAACCACACACATACACACACACACGTTTGTTCTTGAACCCCGTGGGGACTTTCCATTGACTTCCATTAATTTTTTTCTAGACTTTATAGCTTAACCCTGATTATATGCCCTAAAATAACCTCACAGGTACTTACCTGACCCTAAAACTAACCTAAACCTTAGTCCTAAACCCAAGCCCCCACCTGTAATTTGCACTTGGACCCGTGGTGACCTGGCACACAAGTTTGCAAAGTGATCCATTAATGTTACCTATAATTTAAGTTCAGTGATGACTTTAAATCTATTATTGAGGTGTTTTTAATCAGTTAAACTGTGTTTTAATGACAAGAATGAGGAAACTGAAGCTAGTAAATTACAGAAATTGGTCAATTCAAACATTTTAAGTACCGCTTCTATTATTAGCAAGATTAAAATGTTTATTATTTTTTTAGAGTTTCAGTGTTTTCTGCATAAAAACAGTGCTTCATGGGCAGAGAACCAACTTTTAACAATGGAATCATGGAAAGAACAATTGGTCATCTGTTAATTTATTCATGTTATTACATGACATTTTCTTGACTTTTTAAAGCAGACTGACTTCAGGTGGCAGTAAAAATAACCCAATACTTAATCCATCAATACTTAATCCATCAATACTTAATCCATCAATACTTAATCCATCTCCATGTCTGTTGATGTGTGAGCTGAGAGTCAGAGGCAGATTCAGCAGGTAGAATTCTGTCAGGTGAAGGAAACATCGCACCAAGAATTATAAATGTTAAAAACACAACACTTCAACATTTGTTTTATTTTCTATGACATCATATCTCCAATAGAAACTGAACATTTAATTTACAACCAGCGCTTCTTTTTATGTTTTATTGCGAATGAAGACTTTAATCGCCTCTTTTAAATACATTTCTATAAAATTCATACAAATACAGCATAAAAATGTAAGTCATACAAATGTTGCCTCAGTTACTTTTTAATGTCACTGAGTCAAACTCTGAATGAAGTTTTCAGTTCTGGATTTTCAAAATAAAAGTAAAACCTAATTTCCTTTCATTTGACTTTAATGTTGCATTCAAAGACAGTCTGGTGGTTTTTAAAGTGTTTGGTTCTGACCTCCGTGAGTTCAGGAGGCGCTGGACTATCAGAGAACAGAACCAAAACTTTCTAAGAGAAAACACAGAAAGTTCTGATAATAAACTGATAATCTCTCTAGTTTTCTTTATTAGATTAGATTATAATGAGATTACAATCAGCAGGTCAAAATGTCCTGAAAAACAGATTACAGTGCTCGTTTTATTTTTCCAGGTCACACTATCAGCTGATCAACAGCTTCAGCAACAGAAAGGAGCTATAAAAACCTCACAGCACCCTACTTCCAGCAAGTGCTACTGCTACTGCTTGGACCAAACACCACAAGGTAAAATCACACACACACACACACACACACACACACACACACACACACACACACACACACACACACACACACACACACAAAGGTGAATTCAGGCCTGATTACATTTTTCTTCAACTATAAAGTTTTGGCTTTTAAATAAAGCTATGTCAAATTGTTGGTTTTGGTACATTTTGAAACTGTTTTATTATGAATTGTTGATTTATTTTGACACCAAGTTTCTGTGTGAAGAGCAAAAACTGTGATGTTTCCACAGATGTCTTCAGCTCTGATCTTCACGTTGCTCCTCTCTGGTTTGGGGATTGGAGGAAATGTAGGTTTGAAATACTATTTAATTAAATTGAAGTTGGTTATAAGTGGCTTTAATGTTGGTTATTTTGATAAACTTTGAATCGGTGCATGTTTACCTCCACAGATATTTGCTGATGCAGAAGAAGGTTGGTTCTTTTCTCATTTTTGACATGTTTTTTCTTTTTTAAATAAAAAGCTTCTTAAAGATGTTTTCGAACCAAGCAGACGTTTGCTGTCAGATTTAAAGATAAAGTCTATTATTTACTGTATTTATGTCTGTTTAATGTCATCCCCATTGTTTGATTTAAAAAAAGAAAAGCTCTAACCCTCCTGTATAACTGGTTGAAACTGTTAACATGACTGCAGGATTTTTAGGCCCCTACGGTGCATTCTGGTGGGGAAACAGGTGATTTGGGGGGGACATACCTGTCCCTGTGGCTGTGGCTGCAGGAGGAGCCCGTCATCTAGTTCTAATGAGGACACAAACCTGATGTCCATGTCTTCTTTTCATCTACAGCCAGGGTCAACAAAACTAAACAACCTTAATGCAAACAAAACAACACCTGTTGTTGTTTATGCTTTATGCTAGGATGATTTTGGGTTAAATTATTAGCATTAAACACATCTAAATACTGCATTTTCTCTTTCTGTCGTGTGTTGGTTCCTCTGAAGCACCTTTAAACAAACAGCTGACGTTTGGTAGCACCATTTTTATGCTGTAGACACAGTTAGATAAATAAATAGTTGTATTTCATACATTAGGTTATAAAAAATAGTTTTTATATGTATTAATTTGTTTTCCATTGTTTGGACAGTTCCGTGTTTCGACGGGCCGTGTGGCTTCCCACGCTGTCCTTACAGATGGACGCTGCATGAAGGACGCTGTTACCTGTTCAGAGGAAGTGAATCTACCTGGGGCGACGCTGAGGTTCTACTCTTTAAATCTTCATTGTGTTTGGGTCATATGTTGGTCTGAATTCACACTTTAAAGGTTGAAACTTTTTAGTTTTGAACCAAGAAAGTAAAGCAGAGCTACAGAAGACAGGTCAGGGATGTTGGTTTTTCACATTATTTTCAGGGATCAAAAGTACGTTTTCTTCCATTACTTGTTCAGACTCTTCAACACCGCACGATGTATGTTCAACTCTTTCCACAGACCTTCTGCAATTTGTTTAAAGCACACTTGACCTCCATTCAACGACCAGATCAGTACAGCTTCCTGAGGGAATTCATTAAGAACGCCTCAGGAACCAACACCAGAACCTGGGTCGGAGGCACCAACGCAGTACAGGTGAGGAATTTGTCAACAAATACATATGATTAAAACTCCTGAGATGATTTAGAGTTAGGAAATATTATCGTCAAAGATCTGACATTTAAAACCTTGTTTTAACAGAACGACCTGTGGATGTGGACCGATGGTTCCCCCTTCACCTTCACTGCCTGGGGTTCAGGAGAACCAAACAACGTGGATGGAAAAGAGCACTGCATGGAGATCAACCTGAGAGGTACCAAGATGATAACATCTCTTTAAACAAATGAAGCCATTGGGAACGACTGAGTTTATGTCTCTTTAACTGAAATAATACATTAGACGTTTTATCTGTTCAGTCTTTAAGCTCAGGAACAATGTCCTCCTGCGTCATTACCCCCACCAAGAGGGTTATGGTTTTGGTATCAGTGGTTTCTTCACCCGTCTGTCTGTCTGTAACCATGGTTAATCACCATTAACCCATTAACCATCAATGTACCGCCCAGTTTTTTGGTTACTTCCTGCCTCTTTATACCCTAATCCTCAGGGACATAATAAGATAAGATAAGGTAAGATAAAACTTTATTGATCCCACAGTGGGTAAATTTGCACATTACAGCAGCTCAAAACAGGACTGAGTGAGATTGAATAAAGAAAGATAAGGAAAAACAAAAACACACTAGTGACATACTGTAGTATAACAATGTACATATACCTAGTACAGTACATAAATGAATATATA